CTTAGTTCTTCAAGGGGACAATGGAAATCTTCAACAATTTTTCCACCGGCTACATCGATATCCCCACCAAACACAAGAGAAATAGATGATGTAATTGTTTGGAAGATTTTCCATTTTTGTTAGGCAGAAAAACTCGTGCAACGACGAACTTGTCAACGTTAATGACAAGTGAATTTATTGCAGATAGTTGTAAATATCACTATTTAGCTATTTAAATCATTTTCTTATTTTCATATATCTTCATTCCTACGTGATAAAGATGTGTTCAGCTAATTTGACGCGTTTGATTTGTACTTGTGCGCTCAAGACTACTCAACGTCTACACAACCCGTTGGCACTCAATACAGTACTCCAAGGTCTACAGGACCCGTCTAGGATAAGTTTAAGTTTTTGATTGATTTACTTTTTTAATTTGGTTTTCCTTGTTATGAAGCTCCACGTTGTGTTTGTTAATTTTGTTACTGATCATGTAATATTATTTACCTTATTCATTTTGCTCACGGACAAATTTTCCAAAATGCTCAATAAAGAGTTAGAACCCTCGAGATCAATCTCTTCTTTAATATGCAAACAAACACTAGGTCAAAGCAAACAGAATGCTAATTAGATCATTCTGATCTAATATGTTATGTCAATTCTAGCAAGACTAACGCGAGATAGTTAGCTGTGTACAAACCCATTTAGTATAAGCATTATATGTCATGAACATTTTTCTGTTTCTAGTTATTTGAAAATTTTAACTAAATAAATAGCATATGGGGCAAGTATGCAGATATGAAATTTCTAAGGAAATTTAACTTTTAAGTTCACAACAGCTGATGTGTACAATGAGTTAAATTTTAACTACGTCTATTAATACATTGTAACGTTCAGCTTTCATAAAAATGACCAATTTTCCTTTTATTTTTGAGCGCTTTGCTCGTTGAACGCATTTCAGTTTCTAACCTTAAAGCATAATTTTAACCTATTGAATATATTAACTCTGTTCTCCTTCTCTTTAACCTTTCAGAATGAAGGTTTTTGATAGAACACTCAATGTACATTTTATCAACACTGTCTAGTGACTGATGAAATTCTTTCCAAAACAAACTATAAAAAGCTGTAGCAAGATGAATTTGTGTTAATCATGTAGGTAGACACTATAACTTGTCAGTCATGTTGACGAGACGTGACATATAGGTGGAAATGTAAATGTCTCGGAAAAAGTCAGCTACGATATTGCACTTATATCCAAATGAACTGTAAGAGTAGAGCCAACATAACATGTTATATATATATATATATATATATATATATATATATATATATATATATATATATATATATATATATATATATATATATATATATATATATATATATATACACACAGACAGAGACACAGAGAGAGTAAATTGCGCAAAGACTTGTTATATAAGCATAAACATGCTGTTCAAATTTATAGTCAATCGGAGTAACATCAGAGAGATGTTGCATAGTAAGAAATGTACAAGTATCAGAGTAAAGTGAGCTAAGAATGATGGAAATACACGTGTCAGTTGTAGGGATGACAAGATATAAGCAGAAATGTCAGGCTGTTAGAGTAAACTCAGCAATTGTTTTGCTGTTCTAAATTTTCGAAACATAACCGATCAGTTATATAAGCATAAAGCGCACATCATTTCAGGTTAAATCCAAAAATGTTGTCAAAGTTAGACAAATAGCAATCAGGATAAATAAGTAAATAGACCGTACATAAACTGTAATATAAACACTCCAAGACCACGGAGACGTCCCAACTGTCATACTTAGGTATATTTAATTAGCCTTATCGATAACTGACTGACATGTGGACGAAAAACATATGAACTAACTAGTTCAATTCCTCATTTCATGTCCTCATAACTTTTTGAAATAATTTGAATCCAATAATAGCTATGTAGACATCAGACGTTAGATGCATTTCACCTTCACAAGTATATTTAAAATACATTGAAATTAGTTTACTCTTTTTTTTTCTTGAAACATTTACTTAAATTGATAAATACATTGAACATCTGTAGAAGGTTTCAAATTTCCTGTTGGTTTTCCTCAGAAAGGAAACTCTGGCGTTGTGGTATTCACTCGTTTACTTCGATATATCGGAGTTTAATTTGCAAATAAAAAAATACATGAAATGGTTCAAATTTCTTTTCGAAAGAAAAACATTGAGATGTTGAACCTGGCTACATTATTACTGTAATGACATAAAGTAACAAAGTAAATTGTATATTATTAATTATTAATGACTACATCTGGTACTTTAGTGATAATAGCAGAATACAGTCTGTATGTAATGTGATAAGACTCAGCTCAGAAATACTCGAATTCGATTTACATGCAAGAATGGATGTTTGGATGGACTTGCAAGGATGCGTGTTTAAATAAAGTCGATTACTGAGATAGTTCTGGTAGCTTTCTTTTATCTAAGTTGATCGCTTTGTATGTTTTCTTCCGGACAAATATTCGTATATACTTAATGTTAGTTCTAAATTTGGTGTTCTTGTCATTTATACAATTTTTGAGTACATTTCTCGTCGTATGTCTTGATTCGGGATAGGTAAAGCAGCATAAACTAAATTATTTTATACATATATATATATATATATATATATATATATATATATATATATATATATATATATATATATATATATATATATATATATATATATATATATCGATTTCAAAGCAATATATATCGATTTCAAAGCAATATGGAGTGTTTATAATACAACTTTGAAGTTCTTGTTGGCTGGTTATTGGTTATCAGTAAACGCTTGTAAGACAATAAATCCTGGATTATTGGTTAAGACTTAATTGTATTTCTGAATCCAAGGTAACAGTTGCACACACATGAACAATTGAAATATAAACATTGCATGATTATTAATGTAAGAATTAAAACATTGTTTGCTGACTCAATTTTAAATTTGAACATCGACCTTTACCTTTAGATGTCAGCTTTGTATTCTACTTGTAGAAGTGTCAGGATCAATGTACGGGTGGTCCTTACAAGAATAATTTTTTAAGTGTTTGATATAAGAATAAGTTTTAAATTGTTTCACATCTTATAAGATGCTATATGACGGATGGATGTCCAAGCATTACGTTGATAGGTTTTGAATTGAGCATGCAGTGTGATTTGTGATATGGATTTAACGTGACAGTTTATAGTGATGTCTAGCACTGGGGCATCTTGCAGACATGTATGCATGACGTCCAAACCAGTCACATTATCCTGACACCAGACCGACCAGCTTTAATACTGAGCGTCAAGTGAGGCAGCTTTTAGTTGTTGGATTCCGTTAGTCTCGAGAGACAATGGAAATGCGCCCATGAAAGGTGTCCCAGTTTGTAGTTGTGCAGCGTCTTCTGTGGCTATAAAGCCCCACATGGGAGTGGCAAACCTTGCTGCAGTTGCTGGACTTGAAGTTTGAGTCAGGTCTTGTTTGGGACTGCATCCTGTTCCTCTGAGATTTTTTTCTCATCGGCGAGCTGTCTTAACTTTTCCTCGCTGGCTTTCAGACCTGTGAACAGAGCATGTCGCCAGCCGGACATGTCGAGGGCAAGCTCTTCCCAGATGTTGACCTCGATCCAAAGAGCTTTCATATCGTGCTTGCAGACATCCTTGAAGCGAAGATGTGGCCGTCCGATTGATCTTCTGCCTGAGGCAAGTTTAGAGTAGAGAAGGTCTTTGGGGATCCGTCCATCATACATTCGACGCGTATGGCCCAGCCATCTGATGCGACGTTGGCGGAGGGGTGTGACCATGCTGGGAATTTAGGCCTGTTGAAGCACCTTGTTGTTTGTCACACGATCGCTCCAGGTGATCACCGAGTGTGCGACGGAGACAACGCATGTGAAAGGCATTCAGTCGTTTCTCCTGAGAGGCGTACAGGGTCCAAGTTTCGCTGGCGTACAGGAGAGTGCAAAGCACGCAGGCATGGTACACGGAGATCTTAGTGTTCAATGTCAGCTTGCTGTTGTTCCACACTCTCTGCGACAATCTAGAGAGTTGTTGACGCCTTTCCAATCCGCTTGTTGAGCTCGGCATCGAGTGAGAGGTTTTTGGTGATAGTAGTGCCAATGTAAGTGAACTCACTGACTACTTCTAGTTTGCAGTTGTTGATGATTATGCTAGGAGGGTCTGCGTCTTGAGCCATCACGTTGGTTTTCTTTAGGCTGATGGTCAACCCGAATTTGTCACATGCTTTAGCAAAGCAGTCCATCAGGCGTTGTAGTTCAGCTTCTGTATGAGTGACTATATCAGCATCATCTGCAAAGAGCATGTCCCTAATGGTTGCTTTCCTTACTTTGCTCATTGCCTTCAATCGTGCCAGGTTGAACAGTCTGCCGTCTGAACGTGTGTGCAGGTAGATCTCTTCTGTGGACGTCCCAAAGGCGTACTTAAGCAGGACAGCGAAGAAGATCTTCATGTCTTCATGGAAGGACTGGACCATGCTTAACAGCTTTGGAAGGCATCCGATCTTTGTCAGGATTTTGAAGAGTTCGTCTCTGCTGACCAGATCGAATGCTTTGATGAGGTCTATAAAAGCCAGGAAGAGGGGTCTGTGTTGTTCCCTGCACTTCTCATGCAGTTGCCTGATGGAGAAGATCATGTCGATTGTGGACCTCTCTGCTACGGAACGCACACTGAGACTCTGGATACACTCTGTCGGCACGCGTCTGCAGTCTGTTCAGGATGACTCTAGCGAAGAGTTTACCCACGATGCTGAGAAGTGATATGTCCCTGTAGTTGTTGAAGTCACTTATGTCGCCTTTGTCCTTATACAGAGTTAGGATGTTGGCGTCTCCCATGTCCTGAGGCACCGCACCTTCATCCCAGCATGGCAGAGAAGATCATAAATGTGTGTGAACAGCACACTGCCGCCACACTTGATGACTTCTGCTGGGATGCCATCCTTCCTGGGGCTTTACCTGTGGTCAGCTTTTAGTATTATTTTTGCAAGACATTGATATGACTCGGCCGGTTTAGAAGCGGCGACCCTCCGCATCCGAGGTGGACACTCTAACCACTAAGCTACGGTAGGGGTCTAGCTTGCAGTATTATTGGGGCTTACATTTTACAATATTTCAAAAGCTTTACTAAATAAATCTTTAAGTTTAATTTTAGCACCTGTAGTATATAATTTACACAGTTTTTAAACGTTGTCTATGGGTAATATTACATTTTCGTCCTTGTAGCAAAGACTTGCATATCTAAGCTGAAATGGTGCTCAAGGACCAACTGTTGAATGAAAATGAGAATTGGTTCTAAACACAAATTATAAAAATTAGACCTGGTGTCAAATTTTAATTATTATGGGCGCGCTCTATAGATATTATGAACTTCTGAGGGAATGTCGGTTGTAAGGTGAAGTTGATTACATTTGCAACATGCATTGTTTACATTAGCAAAATGCAAAGTAGAGAGATTGTTAGTATACCTCTATGTTTCTTCCATGTAATGCGTTGGATATTGTACTTGTGGAAATTGAACAACATGATCGAGGCACACAACCAACTACATTGACTGTTCCCTTGTGCTCACAAAAGTAACCCGAATTAGTTTAAGTTAAACTATCTTTAGCAGTTATTAAAAAATAAAAAACAATTTTGCCAGACCAGACAACACCAGCTTCTGAAAGTGCAATGAACGAATTAACAGATATATATATATATATATATATATATATATATATATATATATATATATATATATATATATATATATATATATATATATATATATGTGTGTGTGTGTGTGTGTGTATGTATAATGTAACACATTGATGTCATTGGCTATTTTTTATAATTTACCTCTTAAGTCTAGAATTGACAATGACAAAGCGGAGCTAGCATTTATTTCTAGATGGACATCCGAAGCAAAGCCAAGACGTATACTCTCTAACCCATATTATTATAAAGATGTAACATGGAAATGGAATTAAATGGTAAAACAATGGGGTCAAAAGTAAGTTGTAAAGGACTTAAAGTGTTAGCTGTTATTGTCAACATAGAGACATAAACACATATTCAATAGGTAAATATATAGGAAGGGCAAATAAGATTTGTCTCCCCTTTTGCAGAGATATGATTGGTCCTAAATAATGTCATTTGTTTCCTAACTCCTCGATGTCCACCATTTCTTCCATGATGTCTTCGTGGATAATATAGGTTTTAACTTCAATTCTTCCAGATTCGTCTTTGTATCATCAATGGGGATCCAGTCTGGATGACCCAATATTCAAAGTTTTTTCCTGGACCTTCCTCCAATTGTTATAGAGGCGCTAAAATTCTTTCTTCTGACGCTTATCCTTATTTTCTCTCCTCCTTCCATGTAACCATAATCTTTGATTCCTCCGCTGTTCTTTCACAGGGCTCTTTGCTCTTTGGCGAACAAAGGGTGTGTCATTGGGGCTCTTCTTGTTTTAGAAGGTGCTCCACCCTAATTATCAAATCCAATACTGCTATAACTTTTCCACTTAACATGGCTTAATAGTTATCATTCTTCTTTGTTGACGACGAATGAACAGTCTAATTGACTTTCTGTACTTATAGTCGTGTTTGGCCCTTTGGACATGTGCGACTTACTATAATACGTACACGGTAAAGGAAAAGCGGTCCCGTTGGAGACCTACAGCATTCAGTGGAAATCTTTAAACACATTGGTCAAATTTTGCCCAGTTTTTGTTCAGTTGGGTTATGATAATCGTACGAAGTTCATTATTTATTAAATATTCAAGTTTAAAATTTTGTGCACATAGTGTACATCAGTTTTCCAAAACATATAGCTAGTCCATGAGTAGAAATTACACCTTTAAATTATCTAGCATTACACGCAAAATTTTTCTAAATTTTTGGTTATATTTTAGCAGGTGGCTCAAAATTGGTGAAATCTGTAACTGACAAGGTATACTCTAAATACGTCTTCAAAACTCTGAATGGTAAATCCCATATATCCCAGTTAAATTTGACCAATCATCCACTGTTGAGGTCCTTTATTTTGAGTATATTTATGAAATAATCCTCGTGCAGGATGATTCATTTCTAGTCGTCCTATGTGCTGCAGTTCCAGGAAGCTTATTCTATAAAACAAAAACAACAGTTGTTTAATTTTTCATTAGTAGTCTTCACTGGTTTGTTACACTCCTAGACAGGTAGCATCTGCGTTGGGGTACGCACTTTTTGATAGGGTAACTACCTTCTGTGTCGTACTGCTACGTATTCGCAACTACGTCCACGACTTTTTTGTACTCAAGTAATAGGTTGGTAATTAAGCGCACCTTGTAGCACGGGAAACCCTACAGGTAACCCCCTCCCCTCTTCCAACCACTGCAGGTGCTTTACGATGGCTAGTTTCAGACATGATTGATGAAATGAAATTAATATGAAACATGGCCAGACTGATTGACTAAAATTGAAATATGGACCCTTTCGACCAATTAGCCATGCTCGACAGGTTAGTGATTGCACCGAGTACTTCTCGATTAATCTTGGCTGGTGCTCGGCGCCCAAACTACGCTATAATGTGTGTACAGCAAGCTTCTCAATTATCTTGTCCAGAAGCGGAAACAGAGGGGAGTGGAAGAAATTTTATATTTTGTCAAAATGCAATTCCGTCTGAAATGGAATTTTGAAAGAATATCTACTGTCTGGTAAATAGTGGTAATTTAATTTTAGAGGATACAATTTAAAAGAAACGGTTTATGCCGTGAAATTTCCTTGCTAGTGACGTTTTTAAGCTAAGAGTATTAATCATTGTTAATGTGATTACGTTTTGATTTTATTCAATCTATGTTTGGCTGTTGCCTGATGGTTTTGGGATTTTAACCTCCTCCTAATGAATCATTTATTTGGGCCGTGTTTTGTATTTGAAATCTGGAGGTACAAACACTTCCTTTGTATATTTTGCTTGTAAATTGATATTTACCGCTTTATGTAGTGGAACTGCTGTCTTGGAGTTTAGATCATCCTATATCTCTGTGTTATATAAAGGGTCAGGTTAGAGGGTACGCCGTTTAATTTATATTTTCCGTATCATTTATTTGCCGACTTTTGTGGCTGGGCATGGGTGTCTGGATTTTTTTTGTGCTACATTTAACACTTCACTAATTTTGGTATCAGTTTCTTGAGTCTTCTAAGTTATGTATTGTATGTAAATCATTGCCACTTTGTATGGCTGGGCCTAGTGGCCTAGACTTTGGGCCACTTTATATTATTTACATATTCTTTTACGATTTAAGTTATTGGTTATATTAGTCCGTGGCTTATCGCTTTATTTTTAATTTAAATAAGGAGAACAACGAAGGTTATGGAGTATTTATTTTAGTATAAACTAACATTATTTGGTTGATCATAGAATTAGTTGGGTCTTGTAGAACCAGTCAACGTACGCAAAGAATCGTAATTGTGTTTCAAACGAGGTTTTGTAATCGAAAAAGATTTTATGTCAAATAATGACACTTAGGCATTTTTAGTCAATTCTTTAGGTAGCCATTAAAGGACTGAAAAGTAAGTAGCATCGACCTCATTTGTTCGTTTGATTCAAACTTTCGCCTATCCGAAATATCGATAAGGTCATGCACAAGCTTTTTCGAAGGAGGCCAAACTAGAACTTATTTTGACGACAAAGTACATGACTCTTTATGTTTGTTGACAATAAGTGTGGCTAAATGGGATTGAAATCTCTTATACATATCCCACAGGGCTCTGCCGTTTTAAGCTCACGTTTAATAGCTGGATTTCACGAATCGGTCCAGTCGAACTTCACATTCGAGTATCTTCAAGGCTATTGACACAGTCTGGAGTTTCTTCAATGAGATGTGCTACTTACCTGCCCTCTATCAGCCCACCCATTGCCACTTTTTGGTCAAGCAGATATCTCGCAACTAGGTGTTTGGCTGCTTTATATGCCAGAAACACATACTTGCAACATCCATAACACAAAATGCAATTTACACCGCAGAGATTAGCTAAGGACGCAAATTTCGCGAACCTAATGGAACATATTTTTCTATTATTTTTTCTGCATATGTCTATTGATATACAAATTATATATCCCATACACGTACATTTGTTCGGTAAGGTGTTTTTTTAGGGGGAGACAGACACAAAAACAAATATACAGATACACCAGGTACACTGTTATAAGAAATGTGAAAATTAAGTTTAAGTTGGTGCTGTCGACATAGACATAGACAAAAACAAAACAAATACGAACGTTTGGCAAAATGATTAGTACTTATCCATTTTAGAAATGTGCGGGCAGCCTTAAAATAGCCGATTTTGTTTGGTGAGTAGTCCGGAACTTTTCATCTTATCTTCTTTGAGAATGGTCCAATCTCACCATAAGATGCAACACAACATAAAGTCTGCCCCTTCCTCTGTCCCTATTTTTCATTCTTCATTTCCTCACTGCTGGCGTTCTTCCCTCTGCTGCTCATGCTGTTTTTGATACCTTTCCTGTTGACACTCTCTCATCTCCCAGTCTGAGTTCTCTTTCATGAGTTCTTCGTGCAAAACATTTTCCACAATGTTTATAACCATTTGTAAGAAGGTGGTATTCTATCTCTCAGGGGTCTTCTAGATCAGGAACTGTTTAACACGGCGTATATGCGGCATGACATCATTCAATCTTGCAATCTTGTTCACTCTTTTGTTGTTGCCGAACACCATAATGTTCACAAATCCATCACTCTAATTTATCATCTTTTCTTGAGTACTCATGCTAAAAACAAGATAGTACATGTGCTAAGGGAAATTCTAGACTGCGTTGATCACGACAATGCACACAATATTGTCCACACAGCATGGACTTTTATCTTTGTAATTAAAACATTATGAAATCGAATCGGAAAGTCAATGATGTGATCTTCCAGAGGAGATAATCCATACGAATAAAAATAGCCCACAATGTGATCGTAGACGAATTCACCGTGGGTTACTGGTCGAAGAAAGTAGTCATTGTTAATGAGATAGGCTTTATTGTCTTTAGGTTTGCGATGGGGAAGTTAATTTTTATCACACCACACGATTCAACAAA